CCCCCTTTTTTTTCCTCCTCCCCTCTTTTTTTTTCTCCCCCCCCTTTTTTTTCTTTCTTTCTTTCCTTTTTGCACCCACTTTGCTGGCGCTCCCCAGCAGCAAGCAAGCAAGCAAGCAAGCAAGCAAGGGCGGCGGGAGCTTCGATTGCAACCCCGGGGAGAAGAGCCGCTGCTTTGCAAAACTCGGCCTGGGGGGTCCCCCTCCCCAATCCCTCTTTCCCGACCACCCCCCACCAAAAGAAACCGCGATCTTCCGCCCCCCCCCCAAAGGACAACGAAGCGCCCCACCACCACAATCCACACCCACCATGGCGAAATGAACCTCCCCGCCAACGCCGCCTCTGCCTCTCTTTCTCCCGGCTCTCTAAGATGGAGCAAGCAGCAAACTAACAAAGAAACAAGCCAGCTTGGGCCTTGGTGGGAACCAACCATCATGCTAGTTTAATGGACCGAATGCCGGCCGGTTGCAACGGAGATTTTTACAGCTTTGCAGAGGAGGTGAGCACGGCTGGACGCGCCAAAAAAAAAGCTATTGTGTTGAGATTATTATTACTATTATCAACATTATATACTTTATTCATTAAACATGAAACTCAGTCAACTGAACATTCAAAAATGCATCTATTGTTGTTATTATTGGTTAATCTTTAGTGAGATTCACATCCTTTGGAGCTGGTTGGTATCTCAACATCTTGAGTCCTAACCAATTATTATTATTATTTTAATTCATTAAACTTGAAACTCAACTGAACATTCAAAAATGCATCTATTATTATTACTATTACTATTGTGTTAGTGTTAGTATTATTAGTATTCATATTAGTATTATTATATACTTTATTGTTTAAACATGAAACAGTCAACTGAACATTCAAAAATGCATCACATTTTTGTTGTGGTTATTATTATTATTTGCAAGTTAGGAGTTTTCTGAAATAAATTCGTCCTGGCTGGCTCTTCTCTGCCGGGCGATTTCTTTCGGGCGGCTTCGATGGCAACGGAGGCATTTATTTATAAAAAAAAATACATGATTTGCTTAGTGGTTTTTTTTTTTCCAGATCAGGTTGTATATAATAGGGAACAATGCCTTTATTTTTATTTTATTTGGGGGCGGGGGGAATGCTCTCCAAAACGCAATCCGAGGGACGCATCTCTTTGCCACGAATTGCTCCGTCCTCTGACATACTCAAATCTTTTTATAAATGCACTTTTGAGGGTTTGGTTTTTTTTTTTAAGTTCGGGCCTGTATTTTGCAACCCTTGTTGCAACCTGGACGGGCCGAGGGAGGGCCCCGTTTTGCAAACACAACCGTTTTGCAATCTAGGCCGCCGTTCCATTTTGCAAGCCTTTTGTTTTTGTTTTGCAAGGGTTGTGGTTTTTATTTTGCACGGAAGAAACCTTGCTTTTCTCGAAGCGGGACAGCGCAAAAGGCACACTTGATTTCCCTGTGCGCGGTTGCTTTGTGGGGTTTCTTTTTTTGGGGGGGGGGGGATGTTTGAGCTTTTAAAAGCAAGGCCGGGGCTCAAAAGCTCTCGTGTTGTGTTGTTGTTGTTTGCGTAGATGCATGCGGGGACCCGGGTATTGAGATCACCGAGCTTTGCCATAGAAACGGCCGGCGGGAGGGTTGCAACGGCGTTGCAAAAGGCGGTGCTGGCTATTGAGATACTGCAGTGGGCCGCGATGGGAACCGGGCCCTGAGAATTTCGGCGGGCTTGTTTGGGCGGGGAGCGGGGGAGGGAGGGCGAGCGCAGCCCCCAAGTGTCGCACGGGACTTCTTGTAACGGTGCAAAAGTGACTGTGCAAAGATGACGCTTCGGGTGGTTTCTCTCGAAATGCTTCTTTTTGTTTCGTTGGTTGGTTCGTTTGTTTTTAAGTGACCTGCTCAAGTTTGCCTGCCTGGGATTGAGATTGAAGAGTCATTTTGCACCGAGGGCCTTTGGAAGGGTTTCTGTAGAACTCCCGCAGGGGGACGAAAACATTTCAAAATAAATAAATAAATAGATAAATAAGGCAGTTCGAATGTTATTGTAAAACCCCATCCTGCTGCTTATGAGATTCAGGTTTCCTTATTATGTCCAGTTTTCTTTCTTTCTTTCTTTCTTTCTTTCTTTCTTTCTTTCTTTCTTTCTTTCTTTCTTTCTTTCTTTCTTTCTTTCTTTCTTTCTTCTCCTTTCTTCCTTCTCCTTTCTTCCTTTTTCTTTTCCTTTTTTAATTATTTTGTTCATTCTTTTTTCCTTCTTTCTCTTCCTTTTCCTTCTTTTATTAACCTTCCTTCCTTCCGTCCTTCCTTTCTCATTTCTTTAATTCTTTTTTCCTTCTTTCCTCTTCTTTTCCTTCTCTTTTTTCTTTTCCTTCCTTAATTCTTTAATCTTTCTTGCTTTCTTTCCTTTTCTTCCTTTTCCTTCCTTCCTTCCTTCCTTCCTTCCGACATCATGGCCTAGCATAGTCTTGCAAATAAATGCACAAAGCTGCATTTGGCAGATCGGATCTCCCCCCCCCCCCCCCAGCAATTCCCCCGGGGGCGGCCCCGGGGGTCGGATGATGGGCTTCCTTTGACATCTCTGGTTTGCTTTCCTTCTTGAAAGAAAAAAACCTAAACCAGATTTGCTAAGGTGGTTTACAAAACCTTAAACCTTTTGATCAATAGTACACTATTTTGCAACTAGCCAGGAGCAAAGGGGACTGTTGGCAGGTTGGGGCCACTCCTCTTGAAAAGGTGCCCTGCTGGGTAAGTTTGACACAGTTTATGGCACAAGTGGCCAAGGCCTCAAGGGGTGTGTCGGGCTGGACGTGTCAGTGACCATAATGTGCATGGATCTGGGCCAACCCAAAGACAGATCTTATTGCACGGGGTGTTGAGTGACATGCATAAGCCTCTGCCAAATATTAACTAAAAAAAGAAAAGTCCTGGCTGGGATTGAGGCCTTGTTGCCAAAACTGATCATTGGATGCCAAGCGATTATTTAATGTGACTTTTTCTGTTCATTTGTGTGAAGTTCAAGGAAAGGAAAGAGCAAGTGAATGTTTGCCCTGAAGTGTTTATGCTGAGCATTGGTTGCACCAATTCGTACAGAGTTCACATTGGAGAAAAGAGCTAGTACAGACATGTTACTTTTGAGAGTGGTGTGCTCCTCACAAGACTATAGAAAATGCCCCAAATGTAACATCATACATCGCATACAATTCTCCATGGCCCTCTAGATCAGAGGTCTCCAAACTTGGCAACTTTAAGACTTGTGGACTTCAACTCCCAGGATTCCCCAGCCAGCATAGTCCACAAGTCTTAAAGTTGCCAAGTTTGGAGACCCCTGTGCTAGATTCACTAGCAACTTCTCTCTCCTCCCAAAGTTTCTGGCACTTACTGAATTGAATTCTTTATTGGCCTAGTGTGATTGGACATATAGGGAATTTGTCTCCAGTGCATCTCAGTGTATCTACCTACAACAACCAAGGGACAGATAATAAATCATAAATCATGCTTATAATCATTAATCATAAGATACAAACCAAGTGATAAAGGATAAGATATCAGTAGGAGAAGATAAGGAGGGAAGACGAGAAATGAGAAAGGTGATTAGAGCAAGACATCTTACTACATTGATAAATTGCTTAAACCTAAGACTGTGCTTTGGGAATTAGGTGTTACAGAGTGATGTGGCATGAGGGAAAACAACTGCCTTTGAGTCTAGTTGTTTTGGCATTCAATGCCCTGTAGTGGCCTTCTGAGAAAAGCAGTTAAAACAGATTACGCTTTGTGCACAATTATTAGGCAAGTTGTATTTTTGAGGATTAATTTTATTATTAAACAAACCACAGTGCTCTTGGTCAATCCAAAACATTAATAAACCTAAAAACCTGAATATTTAAGAAAGTAAAAGTTGAGGGATTGGTTTTTCTGTGTACAATTATTGAGCAACTATTAGTGTGCAGAATTTTTACAGTAACTAAATGAAAAACAAAATTTTTCCCATTTCACTTGTTTGTTTCCATCTATTAAAGTGAGAATAATAAGCAAACAACTCAAAATGTACAAATAAGCATTTCTGACATTAAAAAAAAAACAGTGACCAATATAGCCACCCTTCTTTTCATAACACTCATAAGCCTTCCCATTCATGGAGTCTGTCAGTTTCTTGATGTGTCAGCAACCAAAACCTCCCAGACACTGTTTAGAGAGGTGTACTGTTTTCCTTCACCATGAATCGAGAAGTTGTTTGAAAATGACTGTTGAAATCTCACACACGTGGGTGGTGACAACATATTAGTATTTGGTGAGGAAACTTAAGTCAGAAAAATTTCATGTTCCTTCCGGTGACTGGGAGCATCAAGACAAATTGTGCAAAATGATAAAAAAAAATGCTGAATAACTTGTGTGGAGAAGAAAAGCAGGTTGTTGTAAGAGTGTGTAACTTGTGACGTCTCTCACACTTAGGATGGTTGCAGCAGCCTCAGGGATATCACATGATAAAAATGAACTTTGAACTTTGTCACTAAACAAGCTATTGTAAGCCAAGGACTTACCTGTATAACACTCCCAATTCTTTAATATATATCAGTTTAGAAGTTCTGGCTGTGAAGGTGTCTGCAAAATCAGCCAGAAATATTATTTGTTCAACCTGAAATACCTCCTATTGTGTCTCACTGCAGCAGTCTGAAACTTGTAGGCTAGGTAAGCAAAGCCTTTTGCTTAGTGAAGTTTGCTCCAAGATTGATATTCACAAATTTTTCTTTCTCATGTTCTTTCTGGTTTTCAGCAGTTCTGAGAGAATTTAAAGATTTCCTTAAAGATTATATTGCCAAATATGAAAATAATACCCTGAAAGATTATCCTTTGACCATTTGCTCCAGAGCCGTAAATCTATATGAGAACAAAATATTTAATCTTTCCAAACATTTGCTTATTTATCCATTCTGGCAATTTTTCACTTGCCACAGTCAAGATATTTCAAAGGGTTATAATCAGAATGATAAAATATCAGTGGTACAAGTAAAATTACATAAGAACAAACAATCCTCCCAAATGCAATGACGGGAAAAATATAAAAACAATGTCAATAAGTCATACAAACAAGTGGGGACATCTATAATTCAAAAACTCTCTTAAAGCATTAGGTTTTGAAGAATGTTCTGACACCTAACAAAATAAGAGCAGGTAAGGATATAAAGGTGCAGAGAATCTCATAGAATTGATGCTACTGTAAAAAAGCAGGATTTGTGGCTAACTAGTCCCAGCAGAATGGAGAGCCACTAATAATTTTATACTAGAGGTGGAGAGGTCAACCTTGGTTGGAAAATATGGTCTTGTAGATCTTGGTGTTTGCTATTATGGCCAAGTATGTTGTGACCACGGTAACCTGAAGGGTGTCTGGAAATTTTCCAGTCCCATGTTAAATATTTGCTGAACTGTTAAGGGATAAATGAAGGCCAGACCAATCTGCGTGTGTATGTCCACTTAAGCTCTTCTTTGCATTCCGTGAATTAGCTAAGTAGCAACTCAC